AAAAATGTGATTATTTGGCATATGTCACTCCAGTGGAGTACATTTTTCTTTTTTCCTCTCTTTACATTTTTCATATTCCTCATTTAATCTTGTTTTATTATGAAGTTATGGGGTTTGATTTTTGACCATCTTCTTTCAGCACAGAAGCAAGCATACTTTTGAGTTTGAGGAATGAGACTTTGAGGAAGATGTGACTGATGTAGACTTCTTGTTTAACTACATCACTTTTAACTGCCTCATATTTTTTAATGTCTTTGCCACCAAAGCAGCTGCAGATTTTATATTTGGAAAAAAAACGCTTACGCTGTTTGGTGGAGGCTTAAGAAATAGTTTGGGGTTTTTTGGGTGGATTTTTTTTTTTTTTTTTTTAATTTTAATGCATCCCAGACACTTAGAGGGAACAGTAATTACTATCATACCTCACATGTACTGGTACAAACTCATGCAGATGAAAAGCCTTGATGGAGACTAGAGTTAGTACTACCACTAGAGTTACTGTATGACACCATTCTCAGGAAGGACACTGTGTGAACATTAGGTCTCTTGCTTGTGTAGCTTACTCATATAAATACAGGCAGTCTGCAGTAAATCCAAATAAATGAAATGAGGACAATCAGAATTTCAGGTAATGACTTTCACATGCACATATTTAAGTGTGCTTTACAAGTGTCAGTGTTCTTAGGATTTTTTGTTTGTTTGTTTATTTGTTTAGGGTTGTTGTTCTTTTTTTTTTTTAAATTGAAGACCATGTGAAAAAAAGAAGTTCAAAATATGGCTAGGTATTAAAAAAAAAACCAAAACATTTCCTCCAGACCATCAGGGGAGACATGTAGAAAGGTATTTGGACATTTCTTTCTATTACTTAAAAAGAATCTGAATATCCTACAAGACAAAATGAAGTAACAGCTTTCCTAAACAGACTAATTCACTCTTTCTATATATTATCGTTGTCAAAAATTACTTTCTTATTGATTAAATGGTGCTTTCTTTGCTTTCCTGGATTTTCTTGCTATAGACAAACTAATGGTTTCTCTCAAATACTTAATTACAACTTCAGTATTGCATTATGCAAGATTTTATTTTTATGAAGTTTTAGTTGACTGCACTTATCAAAGAAGAAAACAGATAACATGGTTCTGCTTTGATCCCCCTTGCAACTCTACTGAGGATGCACTTGTTTGATTCGTCCATGTATGAAGTCTACGAGATCTTTAGTAAGAGCATCTAAAAGGATTAAAACCTGCTATGCTTTAAGTTAATCTTCAATATTTTTTTCAAAACCAGCATAGGATTACGATTGAATAATAGAATGATGTGTTTTGGACTATGCTTATTATATTGGCTAATATGACTGTAACGGCACAAAGAAGGTCTCAAAAGAGCAGCAAAGTGAATAGATCTATTACTCTGAGTGCACAATTAATCTTGTTGACATTATTTTATATGAACATGGATAAAAATGCCTGGAAAGCATGCCATTGAATTCCACTGCTCATTAATATTGATCAAATGTTGCTATTCTCTTTGTATTGGAAGCCACTTAAAAATTACCTAAAAAAGTATTACAGTGCTATTGATTTAAAAAAAACAAATCCCTGAACTACTGTTTTTTGAAAATCAGTTGACAAGTTAGGGTTTATTTTTGAGTAAAGAAGGATGGTTTTGAACTTGCTGCTATAGATGTGAGTAACAGAGAATATTAATCAGATTGTCAGGGAATTAATTATCCACCATTCAATACAATGTTATTTAAACATCCCTATGGAAGTTAGTTGGGACCTTTCATCATCTGGCAAGAGTGCCAGATCTTTTATACTATTTTTTATTCTTAAATGTTATGATAGCACGGTTAGGGCCCAAATCCTTCAAGACACTCAAATGTGCATCGTTTGCACCAAGGATCCTGTAGACTCAGTAAAAAAGAAAAAAAAAGGAAGTAATCATATGCTTGAAGATTCATTCAGTTTAAATATCCTGAAGATGTGTGAACTCAGAGTATGGTCCTCTGGAGAATTAGGAGAAAGAAGGCATGACAATATGTGCCTTTTAAAGTTTCAATCATTCATTCTCTTAGAATGCAAATAGTCTAACCCATGTCCTTTTTAGGAAATTAATGTTAACTAGTGAAAATTAGATGATTGCTGTTTAGTAGCTGTCCTGGGTTCAGCTACAGCAGTCATTTTTCTCCTTCTTAGTAGCTGGTGCAGTGCTGTGTATTTGACTTTCAGCCTGGGAACAGCACTGATAACACCGATGTTTTTAGTTGTTACTAAGTAATATTTACTCTGACCAAGGACTTTCTCAGTCTCTTGCTCTGCCAGGGAGGAGGGGAAGGCGGGAGGAAGCAGAGACAGGACACCTGACCCAAACTGGCCAAAGGGGTATTCCATACCACAGCACATCATGCCCAGTATATAAACTGGAGGGAGTCACCTGGAAGGCCCAGATCGCTGCTCAGGTCGGGCTGGGTATCGGTCAGTGGGTGATGAGTGGTTGTGTCCTCTCCCCTTGTTATTTCTTTTTTCATTATTATAGGTAGCAGTAGTGGTTTGTATTATACCTTAGTTACTGGAGAGCTGTTATCTCAACTTGTGGGAGTTACATTCCTCTGATTCTCCTCCCCATCCCTCCAGGAGCAGGGGGAGGGAGTGAGGGGGTGAGCGAGCGGCTGCGTGGTTCCGGCTTGCCAGCTGGGCTACCCGGAAGCTACCATGACAGTTGCTTCAGTGCATTTTTTTTAATATTTCATTGCTCTGAACATTTTTTAACTACCATTATCTATTAATAAAAAAAAAAAAAAGGCAATAGTACTCAACATTTAGGTTGAAAATGCTGCTATTATGTGCCTGTCACCAAAAAACAACTATAATCAGTCAAAAGAATGTTCCTATTGTTGTTGTATTGGGGTTTTTTTCTCAGTAGGAAGGCACTGTAGAAGACTAAAATTATTTAGAAATACTGTCACGCACTGTTATATTTATTACTGTGCACCTCAAATGACCTTTTAAGCCTTTCTACTTTGGACTGGTCTGAGAAAATAAAAAATCTAAAGAAAACCAATGAAAGCATGCTGAACATGTACTTAACAAGTCATATGGAGAAAGCAGCAAGCAAAATTAGAAAGTGATTATTTAAAGATTTATTGTTCTTGGAAGATCAGAGATCCACTTGCATAGAAATAATTAACATATGAGGCTACTTGCAGGTAGTCCCCAAACTGTAGCACGATGATAAAGACTTGGAAAAAAATACAGCTTATATTCACTGGAAACCAAAAATGTAAATTACTAAACATATTTCTTCCCAAAATATTACAGACAAGGATTACCATAAAAAGAAACTGTGATACTTGGAAGCCTGTTACTAGACCTGTTAAAGGAGAGATACATGTTGTCTGGAATTAAGAAAGTATTGTGTTATTATATTTAAGTGTAACACAGAATATGGATGGGGAAAGGCAAAAAAAGAAACAGCTAGTCTCCTCTATTTCATCTTCCTGTTTTTTGATTTTTTTTACTACTAACTGCATTTACAATAGGTCTTTTATTTATTGCATTCATTGAGACATGTTCTATGTTTAATGATGTACAGAAGCATAACTTGTGCAGATTGTGTCCTGAAATAGACTGATGACATAAGTTTTAATAGAAATGTGCACATGGATAGTTTCTCAAATTGCTATAACCACCCGGGCAATTATAACTAGGGAATGTGTTCTGACATCCTTGTCATTCTGTTAATTTTTATCTTTTTCAAATTAATATTTTCTTAGAGAGTGCAGTTTTCACTAATGTGATGTTCTGAATGCTGTTGCTCTGAACATCTGTCAAACCTTGGGTTTGTAATTGAAAATGAACTAATAGGCAGACCCTCAGAAACATTAAATTTATAGCTATTTTAAGTTTAAATCATTCAATTCCCAGTGCTGATTTTACATAAATTATGTTGTGGAAAGAAATTATTTTCTTTTGAGTTTTTTTTTTGTTTGCGGGGTTTTGGTTGGTTTTTTTTTAATGCAATTTTAAATAAGTGTATAATTACGACATTTCATTTTGATAAGTGAAGAATAATACCTTTCTGTATATGTGGCAGAGGTTGCAAATAATATACTTCATACTGAATTCACAAATCTTTTCACACATAAACTTGCACATGAGACTTTCCAGTCAATGATTACCTGTTCTTTAAAGTGAGATTGGAAAAGAAAAATCATAAAAATGCTAAAGTGTTTTCTTTTGGTAGAAGGTATGTTACAGGTAATATTGGTAAGATAATAAGATGTAAAAGGCTTTAAACACATGCCACTAAATGAATAAAATTTAGATCTCAGTTCAATGAATGCTATTACTTAAAGATACGTGTGGTCATTTCAAACCTATCAGATTAGATCTCACTGATGAAATTTTAGGTATCCTAGCATGTAGTTAGTTTAAAGAAAAAAAAAATTAGTAAGAAGCCCTTTTCGAAGTCAGCTTGAAGTGGGTATGCTAAAAAGGCACTCAATGGAAATGGAATAGTTGGTTTAGTTGCTGCTAGCTGCTGGCCCAGATAAGCATATGTTCAGAAAGTCACCCAAAGCCATAGAAAAGGTCGTCTCAAACAACTAACTTGACTTATAATGATTATTCAGGGATATTGTACATGTCACACTGTACATGATAGGCACATTTTATTAATACATATTTCCACAGTGGTATAGAAGTTAGAATGCTTGTTATCTTTAATAGGAGAGCAAGATTTAGCTTCTCTGTCTCCTGTCTTCTCTTACATTAAAAAATAATGTTATGATTAATGAGCAGTGACAGGCTTCATATTTCTCTTGTTCATAAAAATCCTTGCTGGCAAGTTATCTGAACTAAGTGAATGACGTTTTTTAGCAGGTTAGTGGAACATGAAGGTCTACATCAGGGATTTTATTTCTTTAATGAAAGCATGCAAATGACTGAAATTCTTATGATTGTTATTTTGTATGTATGTATATGTACTTTTTTTCCTCTCAGGACCCTGCCTTCCTAATCCATGTCATAATGGTGGAATCTGTGAAATTAGTGAAGCATACCGAGGCGACACATTCATAGGATATGTCTGTAAATGTCCACAGGGATTTAATGGGATTCACTGCCAGCACAGTAAGTTCCATGCAGTAGCTTTTATTGTATTTATAGATAGCAGCATTTTTATTCCTTGCAATGTTGAGGATTAATATCGAATCTGGTTTTCTAAAGAATATCAGTCTTTGGCCTTTATATTATGTTTGGCCTTTATATTACAAGTGAGATAATACTACTGAATACTACTACTACCTCCTGAAAAATGACCTTACTTCTAACTTACTGGATACAATAGTGCATAATTTCCTATGCATATTCAAGGGCATAGTAAGGAAAAGTAACATTTATCATGGATTTAACAGAAGAGCATATTGGAAATAGTAGAAATCTCTTATCTTGGAATTGCTAGAAAAAAGTGGAAAGAATAACTGAAAAGAAATTTGTAAAAAAATGCATCTTTTAAGTCTTTTTTTACCTATGCATTTACAAAGAAATGTTTTAAATCACGATACCCAAACTCAAGGGTAGAAGTTCCAGACTTCAATTTGATGTACATTTGATCCTGTTTAAAATACAGTATTTGGACCTCTTTCTAATAGTTATTGTTTTATTTGAAGAGTTTTTTTCCAAGTTTCAGGTCAGGTTGGGAGTAGCAGGTCAGTATCCTCGCAGTAGAGTGTATGGGTAGAACACTGACAACTAGCCATATGAAAAAAAAATCTTGATATTTCAGTATCTTGTGGGGCATTATATAGTAATATCTACACTTCACTAACCAAAATTTTAAAAGGTAAATAGATGTTGCATTTTTTGTGATAATACTGAAAATTACAGGCCCAAGTTTCTCCAATTAACATCATCAGAAGTTCTCTGTGATCGAAAGCAATTTGTAAGAACTATGCCTGTTCTGATATGAGTGACTGATCAGACCATGTTCTAACCTATAAACATCATCTGCATGTTCTATTTGCACTTAAATAGAAGCTGGTTTGTTTTTTGGTTTGGTTTTGTTGTTTTTTTTTCTGTATGTAAAACTCATTTAGAACAAGTGCTTGCCTAAGGAGAAACTCATGTGCCAAATTTGTGTTTTATTTTGTGCAATAGAGCACACAGCATGGTTCTTAAAATCTCATGTTGTTGATGCATTTGGAAACCAACTGTTAGTTAGAAGGTTCAAAACTCAAACAGTCAAGGATCCAGTTCCATTTGCACTTAAAAGGTAAATCCACTCATTTAAATCAGAGTGGATAAGCACTGAATCCATTCTACCTTAATTAAGTGCTCCATTTAGATACTTGTCTATAATTTGAAGTGTCAAGAACCAATGCAGTCCAGCTGGAATTACTGCTTACATTCGTTATGTCCCTTATATGCTGAATGGAAAGTGTCTCCAAACGCCTGAAAATACGGATGTTCACTTTCATTAACTGTGACCATACTCTTTCTCTCAATTACGTAGATAACACAGGCAGCCCCACTAACTTAATCTAGTTAAATTACCTGTCTAGCTCTTCCACTGGGAACATGGAAAAGTTACGTATTATCCGCTCCTTTGGTTTCTGTTCCATCTAGCCGTGATTCTGGGGATGGTCGTCTAGTGGAGCTGACTGCCAGCAGCAGTCATACTGGCTTTCTTTTGTTTTAATGGTCATATGTCATTAGAGCACTCAGTCAAGACCAGAGACTGAGTTCATGGTGTAATCATGATGGCAAAGGGTAATTGTTGCCAGCCTTTAAGCAGTTCAAGAGTCTCAAGATCAGGAGACGGGGCAAGATTATGAACCTGCTAATCAGCACAGTGTATTTATACCAAGTTCAGAATAAAGCAGAGTTTTCACATGGGTGATTCATATTCATTGTGGGGAGACCAGAACCCAAGAAGGCAGCTAAAGTGATTTAAGAAAAAACAAGTTTATGTGAACAGTTACTCTTTGGGGGAGAATGAAATTCAGTCCTTTTCAGATAATCTGGTTTAAGATGTGATAATAAATCATATACAACATATGGGTGTTCAGAAGATCTCTAATGATGTCAGCCATGAGAAGCAGCAGATGAGGTCTCTGCAATTAGGAAAAAGTATGGGACTTCCAGTAATAGACTTAATAAAACTCTTTTGTATGGTAGCTCAAAGTTCCTTTGATACAAATTCCTCTGTTACATAAAGTTTAGCAATTCAATTCTGAATTCGCTATAAACCGAGGAAAAAGTCTGTCAAAGTAGTCCCCTCATAAAAAGGTAAATTAGAATTACATCATTGCAAGACACATATCTTTATCTAAATTGTTTAGATTCCCAGCAATCATGTTATACTTCTTTTGTGCAAGGTGTTTTTTCTTGGGTTTCTTTCATGACTAGTATTCTGTTCCTGAATCAATTAAGCAAGGTGATTGATTTTGCAGTGGAGATACATTCCCAAAGCTGGCATTCTGTCATATGCATCAGCAAACATCCTGTCAATATTTCTAATATTCCTTGACCTTTTACCCATGTAAATGATTAATATATAAATTATAAATTAGTTCATTAGTGATTTCACTGATTGTATATTTATTGCAAAACTGATCTTAATTTTCAAATCTAAAAAAGATTCTGATTTCCCAGTGGCAAAAAGGGAAATCAAGTTTCCCCTCTCAGGGTTGTCCAACCAATTGTCTGGAAAAGAAAGTCTACCACATGTAGAAACCTGGGCAAATTTTTTTGGTGATGCCCAAGAACAGTATGTTCTTTAAATATTCCTCTGTAACTCAAAAGGCAATCACTTACCTGCTTGGTATGAATATTATTCCCAAACCCTGTCCAGGTAGCAGTTTGTCAAGCTGTTTGTGTATGGCAGTCTGGTTCTCAAATATGCTTTAACAGTATGCAGCGACAAGGAAAGAGTAGTGGTTTGCAAGAACTATGTTGATGCAAGTCTCATCTCCCTATGGTCTTACTACACTGAGAAAGCAGCTCTTTCAGAGAGTAATGTAGAGCACTTAAATTCTTAAAAGTAGCATACAACTCATGTCCAGAAAGACTAGGACATACTCTGTGGTGGTGGTGCTAATTCATAAGAGCAGGAAATCACTTAGTTCCTTCAGGATCACTTTGACTGAAAGCTGTGTAAATACATGGCCTTGTCATTCACCAGAAAGAGGACATGATCATTGGCTGCATTATAATTCCCTTTTCTTTAACCATGGATTTCAAGAAAGTAAGTCTTCTGAAATCTTTCTGGCTTTTTATTAAAAAGATCTACTGCTATTTGTGAAACATCTGTTATTACACCGTTATCAACCTCACTAATCGTTCTTCATATGACAGATGAAAATGCTGGGCAAACAGTTGTTGAGAAAACTAAAGCCTTCATCTACATATAGAGGGATTGTACTGTCACCTGTTAAAGCAGTCTAGAAATACAGTTCTTCAGAACAAGTCAAGATCCATAGGAATATCCAGAAAATAGAATTGGACAGTTCTTCCACCAAAAAAAATCCCCAAACAAAACAGCCCCATAACATCAAGAAATATAGACAATATGCATTATTGTGATTGTCAGAGATAGTCTGCTGAAAAAATAAGAAAATGAGGCACTAGTAAGAATATATTCAAAGTGTGGGTGACTCGCTGCCATGCAACTGAAATGGCATAGAGATCCAACCAGAAAAAAAAAACAACCCAAGTTCGAAACAATAGAGTTTAGATTTAAGGGTTTTGTTTGGATGTGGTTTTGTATTCTGAGGATCATTAACTCTGTCAGCTATATCTAAATGCCTTGCACTCCAAGAAGAATCAAGGTTATTAATCAAACACATTTAATAATGTAAGCAAGCCTTTGCAGTGTTTGTAGTTCACTACTTTCTAACTCCCTGTCATAGATGGTCTGTGGTATTCACATGGGCTACATTAGTGTATTGGGAAACTGCACAGATGGGGGCCACAGATGTGGCAGAGCATCAGCTCACTTTTTGATAGTATGTGGAGGTATCATCTCAGCTACACATAGGACAGGAGCTTTTAGCTGTGGATCTACAACTGGAAAGGCCAGTGGCCATGCATTTCTGGCCAGTTTACATGATGCATGATATACAGGTTCAGCTCTACCAGCAAGTTCAAATCCTAGTTTCTTTTCCAGCTACAGGGAAGAAATATCTGTGAGGAAGGTGTAAACCATCCTGTGGCATGGATTGTGTGTGTTACAATGAGTGCTTGCTCTTGCTAAACCATTCCTGGCTGTAGTTTGGTGATAGAGTGTTCCAGAAACTATTCCCCACAGCTGGTTCTCATGCATCTGTGTTGTTTTGGAGGCTAAAACCAATTGTATCTCACGCAGATGCAGTTTGTTCCAAGCCAGCAATCCCCCTTGATGTACCTACTAGGGTACATACAGTTGTACCATACCAAATGTTAATCCCATGCTGATAAACAGTCAGAATCTTTCCTCAGTTTCTCTTTAGGGGATCAGTATCTATTTGAGGAGTTCTAAATCTAACTCAGGTATTACTTTTTATTTTGATGGAGGTTAATTTTCATTTAAATTAGCTGTCTGCATAGTTTTAACAAATTATACTAACTATAAATTCTGTAGTAGTAACAACGTAGTAACGAGTTACATAATACAGTAGTAAATTACATGTACAATTATGTCCTAAGTGAGATGAAAAACAGTGACAACAATTTTGGGGCTATTGGAAGTAGGGTATTGTTTTCCTTAAAATCCAAACAAATATCTTGGTTAAAGCAGTAGGTGACTGAGCTAAGATGACCTGAAGCCCAGAGAGAAAACACATTAAATGTCAGGTAATAGGCCACTGCTGGATACTCCTCAGAAGGAGTCATCACCTTTGCCATGAAAAGACCAGGCATAACTTGTCCCCTGCTTAAAGAATTTATTTCATTCGTAATAGCCTGAGATGGGCTTAGAATCCTAGGTAGGTAGCATAATATCCTGTCCAATTTTGTTTCACTCTTATTAGCATTTGCTTATACAGTCCTGTTTATTCTTTTCATTCATACACACTTCCAATAACATTTTTTTTCTTGAATTGTTTTTACTGACCATAACAGTTTCCTGATGAAGTTTCATAGTCTCATTATGC